AAAAATTAATTTAATAAAAATAAGTTATACAAAAATAAAAATGTTCCCATAAATCAATTAGAAACAGTTTGAGTCATTAAAAAGCTCAGCCGCTAAAAAGCAGCAAAAATTCAATGTTGTGAAATTTCGCGAAAATTTTCGGTATTTATTTATTTATTGTTTTTTTTTTTTACCAACAATTACAACAAAAAGGCTTCGTAACGTCGAATTTTGAACTTTTGGCAATATTATTGCTTATGCGAAGGTGTCACTGACACCCACCATCCAGCCAGTCTGCCAGCTGCGCGCAGCAAACTCTCCGCTGCCAGCAAAACACCCGCTGCAACAAAAGCAACTGCGCCAATTGCATGCGGTGAGCACTGCTAAAAGACTTTATTCGATCAGAGTCAGTCGGCCGCTTGGCTGGTTGGGCTGTGCACGATCAACTTCATCATCGACGTATTCATAATCAACGCCGCCATTATTACTTGTTAATCAGTATCAACTATATGAAATAACAGCAAAACAACAAAAGCAACAACAATTGCCAGCGCGTAACACATGGATTTTTGCCTTATAATAAACGTATAAATATTTCGTTGTTTTTGTTGGCCATCAACGTCGACGTCGTTGCAGTTATAAGCGAGCGCACGAGTCCCTGAGCGGTGCGCGAAAGCGTTGCCGCCGTCGCCGACGCCGTCACTGTCGTCGTCGCTAAGTTTTCTGTGAATGCCACGGCCACTGCAAGAGGAAGCGTGAATGCATTTGCCGTTTACCTCTAGTCGAGCTTTTTATAATCTATAACCACAACATACATACATACATGTGTATATATCTCTATTATATGTATGTATATGCAAATGTGTACATACATATGTACATTTGTGTGATCTTTATATTTGAATGCGTGTATATTTCATTTCATTTTAGCATTAATGCAAAGCAGACAATACCTGCAATAACAACAATAAAATACCATCGTGCGCCTAAATTAATCAGCATTTTGGCATATGTGTGATCTGCAAGAATGTAAGGAAATTCGCGCAATAACTTTTGTACAATATGAAAATAATATATACATACATACATACATATAAGGAATGTGACTACAAATAACTTAAACTAAAAATTAATAATTTCACAAAAATCGACAAGGAGTCAACAAATAATATTATTAGTGTGTTAGTGTTTGTTTAAATGTTTTGGTTTCTATAAAACAACAAAAAAAAACAAAAAAGGTGTATAACTGCGCGGGCATACTCATATACGCATCATCAGTCGATATAGMGTGTGTTCATACATACATATATGTACATATGTACATGTATAACGTGAATGAATTCGGCTCGTACGAATATCGTCTACCCCAAGGGCAATAAACCTACTATTGCATGCGATATCAATACATCACATCACATCGCATCGCATCGCACGGGGTCAACGACAGAGTGTGCTGCTGTTTAAACGTTGCCGCCGCGCGAGTGAGAGTGTAGCAGAGTACGACCTCCGGCGTCTCCTTACGTCACTGACACCGCCACTGCCTTTGCCGGAGACACCAGCTACAAGCAACCAACAACCGAAGCGACTGTCACTGCCGTATTATTACTTTGGTTGTTACTGTTGTTGTTGTTGTCGTTGCATTCGTCACACCGCGCTACGTTACGTATTTACATTTGCGCTTGCATACATATACATACATACACACGTATATGCATGTACTGAAATTATCTCTGATTTCGCGACGCTGAGCCGTTTGAACGGCCTCTCCTCCTTTGAGATCTCTGCTCGACCGCTATCATTACTGTTGTTGTTATCAGACACGAATTCACGCATTGACAATCGTAGCAAGTGTTCAATGGATAAATAATGCACATGACATAATGTAATGAAAGTATAGAAAACCAATACGTAATGTAATTAAAAACAAAAAAACAAGAAAAAAAAATACAAAATTATTATTTCGTCTCTTCGCATTATCATTTGCTGTTTGCTGATATTTGCATATATTGAGGATAATGGCTCAGTTAAAGGAGTGAATCTTTACTTTCTCAAAAGGTGAGTACACTTAATACATATCGTTGCAAATGATTTCCAAATTTAATTTTCCGTTATATTTTATAATCCATGAGTATCCTTTAAGCTCATACTTAAGTTAACTATACCAGTATTATAATGAGGTAAGATCAAATTTTTGATAGTTTGTTGGAATTGAATAGACTTCGAAACTACTAAGTGGATTTGAAAAATTCGTTCAGCGTTAGGGCGTTACACTCTCTCCGATGAACATAAGCTATATTATATTTTCAAAAAAGTCAAGGATTATTACTGAAAAGACAATAATGTAACTCAAGATGTAAAGAAATTACTAAAAACGTTCCTTATATCTTGTCCGCTGTCTCTTAATACACTGATCTATGACAATATCGTCGTATCATCGTTCCATCGACTACGGTATTTGCCGTTAGCAATGCGCAAAGGACCATAAATCTTCCAAAGAACCTTTCTCGCAAACTCGTAAAGCCGACTCCTCAGATGTAGTTATCATCCATGCCTCTGGCACCACATAGCAGGACGGGGATGATGAGTAACTTCTAGAATTTGGTCTTTGTGCGTCGAGAGAGAGAACTTTACTTCTCAATTACCTACTCAGTCTGAAAATATAACCTGTTGGCAAAAGTTATTTTGCGTTGGCCAAACTTCGTCTTGCTTTCGTTCACTAACAAAGCCATTTGCTTCGCTTCCTTACCTAATCTGGAGAAAGCAGAACTAACGGCGCGGTTTATGAGGCCAATGATATCAGTATCATCGGCGTACGCCAGCAGCTGTACACTCTTATAGAAGATTGTACCTTTTCAAATCAAGTCTGCACCTCAAATTATTTTCTACAGGAGTAAATTAAAGAAGTCGCACGATAGGAAGTCGCCTTGTCTGAAACCTCGTTTGGTATCGAACCCCAGTATTAGTCCTTACTAAAATTAGTCCCTTCATATTAAAGACTTTTTCATTACCCTTATATGACTTGTGGAATAACTCGATTCGGAATGTCTGGAAAAGAAGCATAGCACGGCTCAGCGCCCATTTGGCGCCCTAGTACAATAATGAGTAAATAAAAATGCTTTCAAACCTATTAAGTTTTGTGAAATAGCTGCTGTAATCACAAACTCTTCGGGGTTAATCATTTTTATGCTCAACAGACATAAATGCCTGATCACAAGAAAATTTACATTTTCGTTAAATTTTTTTTATTTATGCATTGAAGTACTGCATAGTGATAGAATGTAAACTGCGATAATATGCAGTGTTTGCTGACCTCAAAATCAGCAGTAGCCAATATGCAATATAATTTTTTGTGTCTCAGTTTCGCATATTTCTTTTTTTCATTAATATATTGACCCACTTGAGGCCAGTTCGAACAAAAAAAGCTGAAATATTTTAATGCTGAATCGTGGAAAAAATTAGTGCATTTCCCAGAGGGTTGCCAACTGGAACAAATGTTGAATAAGCTGCGCATTTGTTCTTAGCAATATTGACAAAAACAACTATTTCAATTTGAAAACAAGAAATAGCGTTAAACTTCGGCTTCAGCGATGTTATTCCCTCACTAGTGTATTTTTAATAGTAATATCTGTAAATCTGAAACCAAAGATTCCAAAGATTGGCATCGCATCCAACCGTTAAGCCACGCTATTTGATATAAACTACCGTTTAGTCTTTAATTAGGAAAAGTAGCTTTTAAGAAAATGATAATCTTTTATGAAGATCTTGCAAGGCAGTCATATGTTATATTGCCCCGATCTGAACAATATGTTCGGGGATTACACCATTGCCTTAAATCATAATCCATGGCAAATTTCGTGAGCATATCTTGTCAAATGAAAAAGTTTTCCATACAAAGACTTTATTCTGATCGTTCAGTTTGTATGTCAGCTATATGCTTCAGTGACCCGATATTGGCTTCTCTGACAAATGAGCGGCTTTTTGCCCAAAATTTCATATCGATATCTCAAAACCTACAGGACTAGTTAGCGTTTATACAGACAGACAAGCGAAAATGTCTAAATTAACTCAGCTCGTCTCATTTTCTTCTGGGTGTTTCGAATTTCGACAATGAAACTCCTAAAATATAAATATTTTGGACGGATCAAGCCAATTAATGGGTTACTTTGGTTACAAAAAATATTTTAATTTTTTTCGATTCGATGTTCGATTTTGTTTTAATACCTGTAATTGAAAACATCCCTCGTACAGGACCTTGTAAATTACATTTCGAAACCCTTTATAAAATTTCTTGTAAATTATATCTCGAAACCCTTTATAAAATTTATTAAGATCGGTGAGTCGCGACTACCGACTTTAAAAACACAGTTTCGAGGAAAAGGTGTCCAAAAGTTTAAATTTTAATAACTGATTTCGAATGCCCAACTTTTCAAGGCTGTTTCTCCAAAACTATTACTCGAATCAATTTTAGCATTTCCGACAATATTCTAGAGATGTTATAGCATTAAAGCAAAATTATCGAACCCCTGAAACCCATGTAACCGCTTAATTTGGTGGCCCTGCCCGAAGTGATTTCAGGGAATTTGTAATCAATTTCCCTAATTTTCTTTCGGTCTTTTAGCTAACTGTATTGAATTAGAAATGAAAAAGTCACCAGTTCACTTTCATAACTTGCACTTGTGCTGGCACACACACACATTCAAAACCAAAACCAAGCTCACATACACACGTACACGCCTAAGCAGTGCAATCTAAAATTCTATGCATTTTCATATACTCAGTGTCATATTTATGTACGAACATGAGCGACTGTAAATGCGGGCGCATATATGTRTACATTTGAGTGTGTGTGTGTTTGTGTGTTCTATGCGCTGACCTAGACATTGACTAGTGCACTTGTTACGCCTCGTATGCCAAACAAAACGCAGTGAACGCAACAACCAAACACTAACAACACACTAATAACAACTGATATTAACCGCAACAACAATTTCAGAACTGGATTTTACTGTAATAAAATGACAAAAAACATAAAATATAGCATACAAACTTTAAATAGAGAATTGTTTACGAGAGATACTGTTTCAGCCGGCGATAACAAGGTGCATGATGAAGAGATGAATTGAGAAGGGTGCTGAGTATGTACTATACTAATAGCAGCTAGGTTTGTTCCGGCCGTATTGGACAGATCAGAATGACGGAGCGTTAGTTTGTTAGTTTTTCGAAAATCAGTATTTTTAAAATCCAGTATTTTTTTTTAGAAATTTTGGCACGTTTTTGAAAATTCAACAACTTTTTTAAAATTCTAGTACGTTTTTTGAAAATTCAGTACTTTTTTAAAAATTCAGTGCTTTTTTAAAAATTCAATAGTTCTTGAAAATCTGTTTTTTTTTTTAATTTATTCCTTTTTTGAAAATTCAGTACTATATTGAGAAAAACCAGTACTTATACGAAAATTGAGTACTTTTTTGAAAAATCAGTACATTTTTGAAAATTCAGTACTTTTTTGAAAATTCAGTACATTTTTGAAAATTCAGTGGTTTCATGAAAATTCATTACATATTTGTAAATCCAGTATTTTTTTTGAAAATTCAGTACTTATTTGAAAAATGAAAACCATTTTTGTTAATTCAGTACTTTTTGAAAATCAGTACCTTTTTGAAAATTCAGTACATATTTGAAAATTCAGTACTTTTTTGAAATTCAACACTTTTTTGAAAATTCAGTAATTATTGGAAATTCAACATTTTTTTGAGATTTCAACATTGTTTTGAAAATTCAATACTTTTTTTAAAAATCCAGTACCTTTTTTAAAATTCGGTATATTTTTTTGAAAATTCAGCACTTTTTTGAAAATTCCGTACGTTTTTAAAAATTTAATATTTTTTTAAGAATTCAGTTCTTTTTTGAAAACTCGCTGTTTTTGGTTCAAACCGCGTTCTTTCCAGTCATCTTAATTTCTGTGTTCTCTCTATGCAAACACGCCGCGCTTGTGTGGCTGTGTGCGAATACGTTACTAATTTGCTAGCCAGCTAGACTCGACTTGACTCTTTCGAGCGCCTAGATTGTTTATCGTTACGTGCTTTTTCACAATGTCAACGAAAATACAGTTAACTTATGTTTCACTTCTCAAGGTTTTGTAAACACGCTTTGAAAAACTAAAATACTCGCTCGCACTAAACATATTGTAGTAGTTGCTTATTTGTAGAATAGACAGAAATAGCTGTGCACACACACACACGTATGCAGGGATGAAAACATAAATGAAAATAATAGTAAGAATAGTAATAACAAATCTATACTATGTATGTATGCATATGCAAATCTAACAATGAGAAACGTTATTTTGCTGCCGGTGGCACTGACAGGGCGGTCGTTCGACAAGCTCCAAAGAAAATACTTAACAAAATAATAATTTGGTAGCAGCGTGGTTGGACGTGAGTTGAGCCAAAGCAATTGTAGCAGATCTAAGCGTTTTGCGGCGGTTTGCGTCTTTGCATATATGTACATACGTACATACATATGTGTGGCATGAACTTGAAGACAGATGTTGTTTCAGCACAGTTTATTAACTGAGTGTTTGTTTTTTTTTTTTTTTTTTTTT